TTCATTTTATAAATAAAACTGTAAGCTTCAAAATACATATTGTGTTTTTGATACTTTAAATTTAATATTGCACATATAATTGATTTACGAAGGTATATGAACATTTGACTGTAATAATCCGCCTGGTTTAGCTCACGTTTTATTTTTATGAAAAATAAATCCGCACTATTTGGATGACATATGAGGATGACGACACGAGTTGATTCCCAGTTTCTTGTCTGTCCGCTCATCAGCCCAAGCAAGTGATAATTTGAGCGAAATTTTCGAAATCTTGATGGAAATTAGGCCACATGTTCCTTGGCACCCAAGGGAAGATAGTATTCCATATGGGCGGTATCGGACTATTGACACGTGAATGACATTTTTTGACTTTCTTATGACACCTTGTGAAAGTGGGCCATAGATGTTAAATACAATATACACATATTAATATATTAATGTATTATATAATATATATATATATATAAATTAAGAGCCAATGGCATTAACCCAAATAATATATCTTTATCAAAATATCTTTTTCTGGAAATAATATGCCGTGTTGCTAAAAACTAACAAATATTTCAAACACGAAGCAAAATATAGTAATTAAGCGCAGTGAGTTTACGAGACTTATTAACTTAGTCCAAACCAAAACCAAAAGGTGTGTTACATGTTTAATAATAAAAATTCAGAATAATTAACATGTTATTATATATAAATCTTTATATATAAAAAGTACGTATCACGTTATTTGTCCGCAATGGACCCCTAAACGGCTGAACCGATTTTAGTAAAATTTAGCACACTGTGTCCAGTTCGAACCAATTTAAAAGATAGGATAGTAAAAAAAAAAATCATAAATAAAGAATATAGGGAAAGCTGTACTGAATGGACCATCTATTAAGCGGACAACTCTATTAACTGGACAGAAAGGCTGCTGGTAACCGGACATTGAGAAAGCAGCCTTAAATTCGTTATTTTTTTAATGAAATTTATTTGTATGAACATATTCAAAATTAAACCTCAAGTGCAATCTCTTCGATTCTTATACCACAAAAACGTTTTCGCCTTTATTCGTAAATAATTGAAAATGTATACCACAGCAACGCGTGACCGGGTCCCCTAGTATGTATGTAAAAAGTAATATTACCTTTCGTGGATACACCGTAGTTTTCTATTGCAAGATTTTCACCGTTATTTCAATCATTTGCTTTGACATGAGGCCATAATAGAATATGATTTTGGTGCCCCACATGTAATACTTTACCCGTATTTAAAACTATATTTTTTTTCATTACACTAATAAACAAAATACGTGATACACTTCCTCAAAAATTGTTTATTCAAAAATAAAATTAATGCTAATATGAAACAGATTTGTTTAACTTGTTTTTGGGATATATGCTATGTTGAATATCCACAAAATCCACAAAACTGATTCTACGTAATATTGTGACACTAAGTCGATGCACAGCACCGCCTACTTTTCATAGAAACCGATATCACGGCAACTAATTGAAAAATTATCAAAAAGTTTAAAATTGAACAAAGAAATGTATCTTAGAAAATTGTGTATAAACAAAAATGGTTCATTCAGCCATTTCGGAAACTGAAAAATGAGTAAATAAATTAATTTAAATAGTTTAAAAAAAATTTTTAATCAACAATTATGTTGAAATGTAAAAAATAAAATCAAGATTCAAACATAAACAAAACAAAAAAAAAAAGTGTTATTTAATTTTTCTTGCAAAATTCAATATTTTTTTAAATAAAGTAAAAAAAAATATAAAATATATAAAGTAAAAATATAGTTTTTATATCCTTCAATTGGATTGATGCCGCCGATGACGTGTCGTTGAGTGAATTGAGGTTACTAACTGAAAGAAATCTGTTCCACTCCTCTCTGATTAAAACGGTTTTATTTGTAGGGATTCTTTTAGTAATTCTGTTTAATTTTAAACGGAGTTAAATTTGAAACTGTAATGAAACCCTCTTCACATCATTGAAACTAAGAAGCTTACCATCGCCTTTAGAAAAGCCAAAGTAAAAATATTGCTAAACTTTCGTTATTTTTTTTTTTTTTTGCATAGTTATAATATGTTAAATTTGTTCCAACTCTTCTTAGTCAATTGGGTGGGAACATCATATTTTTGGTCTACTCTCAAAATAAAATATTTTCCCACTACTTTGTTGTCTTGTTGACGTGGACATTCGAAAACTTCATACATAATATGCAGTGCTGAAAGCAAAGGTGTATCTTCTTCACTATTTTCATTGCGTATTCGAAGGTTTTTAAAACTTTTGCATTCCTCTTCAACAGATTAATCTTGTTTTGAGCCAATAATTAATTTTTAAGCATTTTTGATTGGTAGATATGCCTCCTGGGTACTTTAATTATTAACGATTTTTTTCTTGCGATTAGTTATATTATAACCTGTTCTAAGTATAAATTAGCACAATTTATTTAGTTTGATCACTTAAAAGTTGTTTGTTTCACATACCGTGTGGAGCGTAGTCACGTAGATATTCGAAAACTCTGGTAATAATTATATGGGGCTAGGCCAAATTTTCTCGTAATTTTAGGTACAAATATACAATGTATTTCTTCAGGTGTTCTTTCGAACCATTTCGCGCGTCTTCTTTGCCCTGGCAAGTACTCGCTTCCAAAATCGAGTAGCCGACTCGCCAGATGTACGAAACTTCTTCAGCAGCAAAGGGTTAACGACATCGCAATTGCTCTCTCATGCCACTTGAACTCCCGAGAAGAAACTGATTTGGCCTTAATACCGAGCTATCGTATGATTTCAGTGGAATGAAAGTATGCGTGAACGATCTTCCGGTCTTCAGCAGCGACCTCTTCCCGGCCCCTACCCCGGCACATACCACTTCTTGCTAAAGCAACGTCTGGGTAAACCTGCTTGACCATATCAAACGTCTCTGTCGCAGATTTACCGAGTTTCACACAGAATTTAATCGCGTACCTTTTCTCTAACAAATGTTCCGGTGCTCGGAGACGACTGACCTCTTTCGTTAGCTAGGAAGGATGAATGCCGATTTTATTATCTTCTCACAACACGTAAATGTTCGAATAGAGAAATTTTTGAATGTACAAGAAGGCTATTCAATTATGTTAAGGACAACGACTTTACGACTTGATAAACTAATTTGATAGTGCATTTCTAATAATATGATCATGATACAAATTTATAACTTATTTTATATTCTTTATTTTAAAATACAAATTTGTATTTTCTTTTAGGAGTTAATACGTGCTCATGATGAAATAGGACAAATCTATGACCATATGTACAAATCTGGAAAAGAAAGTTCAATTAAGTTGCAAGTATTAGCCTCTCATAGAAACTGCTATCTTTTCCCTTCTGAAGTGCTTTCCAATAAAATGCCAATAGAAGCAACAAGAGTAGTAGGCCTTCGCCGTGTTGAAAATAAGCCTTTGGGATTCACAGTTGAAATTAATTCACAAAACTTTTTATCGGTGGCACGTATACTTTCAGGGGGAATTATTGATAAACAAGGACTCTTGAATACAGGAGATGTAATACTAGAAATTAATGGAGTTCCGGTTAGTACACCTGAAGCGTTGCAAGCAGAAGTTTCACGTTCCAAAGGAGATCTTACCCTAAAAATTGCACCATACGTACAAGATGAATCTACAGAAAAAAGTATCGTTAATTATCACTCACTTGATAATCCCGGAAAAAAATTGACAGTAAGTAATATACTACAGTTTATTGATTTGTTTACGCAAATAATTAATAATTAAGAAACCAATATTACATATGTATGTATAATTAGTAAGACCTTTTAATTTAAATTTAGCGCGAAAATCTTTTTTTCTTATGTAAATAAAGTGCATTCTGCGATTTTTACGATGAGTAAAATTATTCAAATTGGATCAAATAAAATTTCTGGTGCCCAAATGCAGAATGTTTGCAAAAGGCCTTTGGTGATATTCAAAGAGAGTCGAGATTGCGTTGACGACGAACCAGGTCCAGGTTAGCAAAAAAATAAAGTAGATTCAGAGATCATACTGCCATTGTTGGAATATCGAAAGGATCAGTGAAAACCATCTTGAAAGATCATTTGGCCCTAAAAAAAGTGAAATCACGATTGGTTCACAAGTCACGATTGCCACGATTATTTGACCAAAAATCACAATTTAACCATGACCACTCCCCGTATTCACTTGATATAGACCGTGCGACTTCTTCCTTTTCGGAAAAATGCGTTTGAAGGAAAGCAATATGCAGACGTAGAGGCCACTCAAAAGGCTTGCACTGGCATACTGGCGGCCATAACGGCCATCGAGCTAGAAATATCTCGGAATCGGACCAAACATATAATATGTGTTTCGCCATGTTTAAGGGGCTCTGCACCATGGAAGCTAAATTTGCTAGTAGCAGAGCGCCACAGAGTTCAATTCGTAGGAGACCTAATCTTTTTAGAGGCGCAACTTTTGCTTTGGCCACTAGTAGGTGTCTTGCAGTTGCGGTATCGCTTTGTGTTGCGTTGCAGAAGCCGTGCAGTTCTTGCCGGTCAGTTGCGAAATGTCGGTCAGATTATTAACGAACTGGAACCGAAGAGGTTTCACTTGTTCGTTCCTTTCGGTTCCGTCTAGCCATTCTTGAAACAGAATTTTCGCTTGTATCATAATTGGCGAAAGCCATACTGCGGGGTCGACAAGTTTTTTTCTTCTTCTTAATTGCCGTAACAACAGCACACCAGTCGTTTCTTCTTTTCGCTACGTGACGCCAATTGGATATACCAAACGTAGCCAGGTCCTTCTCCACCTGGTCCTTCCAACGGAGTGGAGGTCTTCCTCCTCCTCTGCTTCCCCCGGCGGGTACTGCGTCGAATACTTTCAGAGCTGGCGTGTTTTCGTCCATTCGGACAACATGACCTAGCCAACGTAGCCGCTGTCTTTTAATTCGCTGAACTATGTCAATGTCGTCGTATATCTCGTACAGCTCATCGTTCCATCGAATGCGATATTCGCCGTGGCAAACGCACAAAGGACCATAAATCTCTCGATTCTACCGGAACTTTTGGTGTTGCTTAACGTCAGTTTACATAGCCGTATTAGTTTTGCGGGGATACCAAATACAGACGGCGCTGCATAAAGGCAGCTCCTTTTCGTGCTGTCGAAAGCAGCTCTTAAATCGACGAAGACATGGTGAGTGTCGATTCTCCATTCACGGGTCTTTTCCAAGATTTGGTGCAGGGTGATTATCTGGTCAGTTGTGTATTTGTTAGGTCTAAAATCACACTGATAAGGTCCAATCAGTTTGTCCACGGTGGGCTTTAATCTTTCACACAATACGATCGATACAACCTTATATGCAATGTTGAGGAGGCTTATCCCACGGTAGATGGCGCAGATTGTGGGGTCTCCTTTTTTGAGGATTGGGCATAGCACACTTAAATTCCAATCTTTGGGCATGCTTTCGTCCTACCATATTTTAGAAAGAAGCTGATGCATGCTCCTTATCAGTTCTTCGTCGCCGTGTTTGAATAGCTCGACCGGCAATCCATCGGACTCCTCCGCTTTGTTGTTCTTCGGGCGGGAATTTGCTATTCGAACTTCTTCCTGGTTAGGCAATGGCACCTCTGCTCCATCGTCATCGATTGGGGAATCGGGTTCGCCTTCTCCTGGGGTTGTGCGTTCGCTGCCATCCAGCAGGCTGGAGAAGTGTTCCCTCCATAATTTAAGTATGCTCTGGGCATCGGTGACTAGATCAACTTTGTGGGTTCTACAAGAGTATGATCCGGTCTTGAAACCTTCTGTAAGCCGCCGCATTTTTGCCTAGAATTTTTGAGCATTACCCCTGTCGGCCAGCTTATCAAGCTCTTCGTACTGAAGCATTTCGACCTCTTTTTTTTCTGTCTGTAAATGCGTCTCGCCTCCCTCTTCAACTCTCGGTATCTATCCCATCCCGCATGTGCTGTTCGATCGTAACGTTGCGAGGTAGGCAGCCTGTTTTCTCTTCGCTGCGGCACGACACTCCTAGTCGTACCAGCTGTTCATTTGCACTTTCCGAAAGCCAATGGTTTCGGTTGCAGCTGTACGTAAGGAGTTTGAATTGCCGTCCCACAGTTCCCTTATACCGAGTTGTTGACGAGTGCTCTCAGAGGGCAGGAGTGCAAGTCGAGTAGCAAATCGTTCGGCTGTCTGTTGCGAGTGCAGCTTCTCGACGTCGAACCTTCGTTGTGTTTGGTGGCGTGCGTTTTTTGCTGCACAGAGGCGGGTGCGAATCTTGACTGCAACAAGGTAGTGGTCCGAGTCGATGTTAGGACCTCGGAGCGCACGCACATCTAAAACACTGCAGACATTCTTTGCCCACCATGGTGTTAAGGTCGCCAAGCACGATTTGACATCGTGTGTTGGCAGCTCTCATAAGTGCGTTCCAAGCACTCATATAAGGTATCTTTCGTCACATCGTCCTTCTCTTCCGTCGGGGCAAATCAGCGATATGTTGAGAACCTCGCTTTGATGCGGATTGTAGCTAGCTGTTCATTCACTGGAGTGAATGATAGTACTCGGCGACTGAGTCTCTCTCCCATCAAGAATCCCACACCAAACTTGCGCTCCTTTATATGGCAACTGTAGTAAATGCCACAAGGACCTACTCATCTCTGTCCCTGTCCCGTCCATCGAATTTCTGGGACGGCGGTGATGTCAGCCTTTTTTTCAGGAGGACATCAACCAGCTGGGCGGCACCTTCCCAATTAAGGGATTCCAGGTGCATGCCCTCAAATCATAGTCCTTAATTCGTTTGCCATGGTCGTCATCAAAAGGGGGGTCTCTCATCCGAGGCTGTTGAAAATTCTCCATTGGGGGTGTTTTTTTACGTGGCGGGTCTCAAACCCAGCGCACAACACTATATACGGGATATTTCGCCTTCTCACTTTAGCTCGCCTTCAAACCGACGTTCTTAGGCTACCCAGAGGATACTTGCTCAAAGATCGGGAGTCGTGAGTTGCTTGAGTCATATATGAAAGAATCGTTTCTGGCCACTCCCAAGTGAATGGCGATCAGAGAACTTTCGTCACTTGCGTGAACTTCWACACATGACTCTATCCGCCACCGACGATAAAATCTGTATCTTCGTTATGGCGGATAATGCGGGTATGGATTCAGTCGTGTATGAAAACTGCTCCGATATCGCATTCCATTGGATCCCAAGTGTTTTTGTTGTACTTTCCTTTGCGAATATAACGAAATTAGTATCCAACAAATTGTCGGTTGGTATATTTTTTGAGATATTTGTGATATAAGTAATTAGCTGACTTTTTTAAAGGGACCCCTGCGGTGTTGAGGGCTTTTATTACCTGTGATAAGGGTGTGGAAGACTGTAGCTTCCAGACAGGATATCGTCTACATACGTTTAAATTTTTAACATTTGCGGCGCCAGAAGAAGTTCTGACTTTCTATCTTCTGCCAATTCGTGGAGTATACGAATGGTTAGGTATGGGGCATAGTTTACGCCAAAGGAATTAATTCTCTAAAAATCTTGATCATCTTTATGTACGACTATTTGTCGATAAATTTTTTCGTCATCTCCATTGAAAACGTATTTGTAAATAATTTGCCAATTTAATATGAGGAACATTAAGTCTGGTGAGAGTGTGGGTCCGCTGAATATAATATCATTCAATGAATTCCCCGACTGGTGGATCATTTTTTTTTGTTTGTTTCTCTAGCTTTACTACTGCATGATATGGTAGAATGACACAATTTAATGATTTTTTCGAAAGGACTTTACCATGTGTTCTGAATGGAGGTATTCTTCTAGGACAATTGTGATTTGAGGTACTCGTTTGAGATTTCCTTAACTTGAGTTGTCATTGTGGCAACTGTTTCCGTAATTAGTCCACTTAGTATCCAACTGAAGATGGTATTTTAAGCTAGAAGGTTTTTTGAAATTTTTTCAACACCGTCTAGTACAATTTGCGATATAAGGTCGCAGACAATATATAAAGTCTATTTGAGCGTGGCTGTTGATGTTGGGATCTGCTAGCTTAAGTTGTGTAATCTTTTGCCAAAGTTTGCTATCTATATAATAGATTGGAAGCATGTTAGTAAGTTGCGGTAAGGCTATAGCTTTTGCTTGAATGCGCTTATCCACTTTGGGGGAAATTAGGGTAATGAGGCAGATTTTACTTGAGTTTTGTACTACTCTTCTGCCTCTTCCCGTAATTTCATAATTGACTCTTTTTGTTGGTTATTTTAACCTATTTTGGTATATTAGGGCTCTAAATATTAGGTTGTCAAAAAAGTCTTGCGGTATTTTTGCGGTATTTTGATTGAATTTTTAATTGTTCATAAAATTTTTTTTGATGACTCATGCCCAGCTCTTGACCGATGCTACGGCTGCTACCATGCCGGTCTCTTTCGACCAACTCAGCGATTTTATCGTAATTTTCGACGACAGGCCTTCCGGAGCGTGGCGCATCTTCGACCACCTTTACACCAGAACGAAAACGTTGAAACCACCGTTGTGCGGAGGAAATGTAAACTGTATCGGGTCCATAAACTGCACAAATTTTATTGGCGGCTTGAGATGCATTTTTGCCTTTATCGTAGTAGTACTGTAAAATATGCCGTATTTTCTCTTTATTTTGCTTCATGTTTGTGACGTTATAACTCAGGAACGACTTAAAGGAAATGACAATCAATCAAACACGTGAGCTTTCCAAAAAGGTATAGCA